TGGATAAGATGGTTACTTATCCAAGCGGGAATTGATAGATCATTCGGAGCCCACTCCGTTAGGGGAGCGGCCGCATCCTCTGCCTTTCGTGCCGGCAGTTCACTGGCGGATATTTTGTCCTGCGCAGATTGGTCAAGGGAATCTACCTTTCAAATTTTTTATTTTAAACCAACACCACATGCGGCTTGTTCTATTATTCGAGTGCGTTAAAACAGCAAATATGAAGCCTCCTGTCTTGCCATAAAATTAGGGATTATTCTAGCTTTCAGTAAACGAATAATCTGAATTTTAATAAAGACAGGAGGCGAATATTTTCCCTCCCTTCGTTCACTCCGGAACCCACCCTCGAGGTAAGTCTCATAGCCAATGCTTAATGTATGATACCATTCTTACATCCAAATTTGCAATATACGATTTGCTCATTTTGTGATTATACATCTATCTCACAGGGTACTGATAGATCCTTTTTATTTTTCTAACTCTGCCAATTGGTCTGCACTATAATTGGAAATAAGGGGTATAACTATATATTTTTCTCTTGTCCGAGAAACCTTACTTTCACGAAGTCTCTCTTCTTTTCTTTTAGTGTGAAGATCTCAAGCTTATTCGATCAACTTTCCGTTTACATGGTTGACTTCATCTCGAGTTACAGCCTCGGGAACTGTTCCAGTTAAAGTTTACATGGTTGACTTTGATCCTGACCGGCAACATCAAGAAAGAGGAAGTGGGAGGAGTCTGATGACACTATATTGTAGTTGAGATATGTTATGATTGGTTGATTTTTCCATACAACATTGTTAACCATTTCTTTGCTGCTGGGAGTTACAGTAAAGAAAGATAAGCAAATATTCGCCTCCTGTCTTTATTAAAATTCAGATTATTCGTTCACTGAAAGCTAGAATAATCCCTAATTTCTAACAAACACATGGTTCAGCCAGTAAGTTCTGGATAAGTTAAAATCAGACAGATTGCTGACAGAGCCAGGCTCACCAAGTTCCAAGTGACATCACTTGTATTAATGTGCTGTCCCAGCATGATGAAGATGTCACAGACATATAACTGGCAGACAAGGCACTTACAGGGCTTTTAGGGCTGCTTTCCCAAATGTTTCCGAGACACATACAGATCTCTCACAAATGTCATTGAACTTTTCTGTTTTCTGGCCCTTTATTTTTTAACCATTCTCTTATAACCTTTATATAAATTCTATGTATATAACCTCTGATGTGATGCTTATGAAAGTCTGTTACAATTCTTGGTGTGTAGGTGACGTGTCTGTTATAATTCACCAGTCCAGGAATCCAAATTATTTATTAAATGATTACTAAAGTCACTCAGGCATATTCATCTTAACAAAGTGACCTGGGTGCAGTGGCTCTTTAGTTTTAACCCTGCAATGTAAAAAAAATGCTGGTTTTTAGAAACTGTATTGTTTTCATTGCCGAGTAGTTCATCTTTAGTAGCCGTAATACTGGTGAAATAGTGTTTGTATAAACTGAGTTTTCTTACGTTGGAACAAGTTGTTGAATGGTGTGCACTGCTATGATACATTAGACCAATAGTTACTGGTAACCCGTTCCTGGGTGCTAGATGTATGCGATGTTCAAATCATTTTCATGCAATGCAGTATTCTGTTGAAACTCATTTTGTGTTCTCTGCAGATACCCTCTCCCACCCTTCTTACTTTCTGTATCACTTAAAAATTTCAGTAAAAGACAATTATAAAATAAAGTAGGTGTTGCAGTTAGCATGTACATCTCCCATGTTTAAATTAGTGTAGACCCACCGATATTGGGGTACTATGACATACTAGTTAGTTTAAAATGATGTTGCCATGTGGTGTAAATAATCCATATATTTTTTTCTAAGATAAGTGATTTTAAGTAGCCTCGTAAAATAGGGCTCAACAAACCCCAGGCACCAGGTCGCCATGGCGACTAGGATTTTAGTCTTGGCGCTGAGATTTGTTGGCCCATTCAGCCCCTGAGGTGTTTGGCTGCTATGAGTGGAGGAAGAGCTCAAGGAATAGCATGTAAGGTGAGCCAGCTAACTAAAGGGAAAGCATGTGCGGTCGTCCAGCCAGCTGATGGAGAGCATGGGCGTGCAGTCGGTCAACCTGCTTAGCGAGTGCGTGTGGTAGTGCACGGACGGGAGACTCCTGGAGGATTGAGGCAGACGAGCAAGCCCACGAGGCAGCTGTAACCTCCCTGCTCTGCTCCCTTGCGCGTACGCAGGCAGGGTTTACATTGAAAAGTGTGGAGGGACAGGTTATATACATGAGAATAACTACATCAAGTTGTAGTGGTTCTGATGACTATAGTGTCTCTTTAAGAAATGTATTGTTGACATTGAAAAACCTGGCTCCTAATTTCTTTTGCTGGCTCCTAGATTTAAAGCAAATTTTTAAGTCTTGTTGTAAGAGTTAAAACTGTACTTTTTTTGTGTGTGTGATGTTCCCTTAATCTGTATTTTGTGTATATTTTGGTGTTGACAGCGGCAGCCATGTTCTGGGTGTGCCCCCAACCCCCCTTTTTTTAAACTGATGGCCACTATAGAGGGTACTTCTGCGGCACTGACCGAATAAGACTTGGTCACATGACACGGAAGCCTCCATAAGAAAACATAAGATTTATCTATTTGAAAAGATAAAGAATTAGAATGGAAAAGATAATTACTTGATCCGGGATCAATTAGGAATTAGAAATTAAGATTATGTAATTTGTTTGAATGTTTATCAATGTCTGTTTCACATTCTGAGGATTTTATAACTGTATACGTGTGACAGGTTTGGTTCCCTTTGCATTCCTGACGATTCTCAGTTTAGTAAATAACCCTGCAAGTACTGTACGTGTAACACATTGATGTGTTTTTTTTTTGTTTTTTTTAAATTCTTTATTTTTGTGTGCATGAGAGTGACAGACATTCTTGCAGTGCCCCAACAGCAAAGGCAAGATAATGAGCTGAACAATGCATAACAGTTATAAGGCATTTGATTATATTACACATTTTTTATGGTGATAGGTACAGGCTAGGCAGAACATGTCTAGAGGAGATTCTAGGCGAGATCTTCTATTCTATGCATGCAAGTTCAAAGACATGTAGGTATATAAAGTTTGTAACATAGATTGTGAGACATGCTATAGGTACTGGGTTAAAGCAGTGAGACAGCAAGGTTATACCAGGCTAATGATGGGTTCTGGCGTGGGCTCTAGGTTGTCAGATGGTATTGGACCACTTGCCTCCGGGGTGCCTCAAAATTGGAGCAGTAAACAGTAAATAGTTAGCATCGCCCTTGTGTTATTGGCAGGAGAAGGAAAGTATAAGGGAAAGAGGGAGAGAGAAAAAAACAAAAAACCAAAACTAAGCAGTAATGATATGATTACAGAACATAATAGCAGGCAGTGTGGTATTGTGAGTGCCAGTCCAAGAGGAGACAACTCTGTGGTCCCCACCCTGGGAGCGATGCTTGTGCTGCGTCTGGTTCATCCGATCCCCGCTTGTGGCATATGTGGGGGTTGTGCTTGAGCATTCCGGTGATCGGTGTTGGCATAGCGATGCAAGACTTCGTTTCCGCCCCAGGCTTGGATGAGTGCTTGCTTTGTTTTTATGCTAACTCTGGTGTTCGCTGGAGCCAGGATCTTCCTTCTCTCTGGGTGAGTAGTGGGTTTAGATTTTATGCGCCTGTGCCGGCGGGTGATCCTCCGCTTTGGCGCCTGATGCATGGGGGTTGTGCCCTGAGGGGTTCTCAGCCCGGGCGGGCGAGCAGACGAGTGAGTGGGCGCAGGCTTGTGTGCTTTGCCCGGGGGAGGCCTGTTTCCTCTCGGCTGCTCTGTGCTCTTAGGAAAGATTTCCCTCTCTGCCATGACTGTCTGCTCCCGCTCCAGGATCCTCCGCCAGAATCTCTGAAAAATGTCATCCAGGCGCTGCAGTGTAGATTCCAGGCTGCGTTGATTCTCTATGGAGGGTTGTAAGTGCTTCGTGGTCGGCAAGCAGGTAGCCGCCATATTGTGGCTTGGTGTATCAGACGTTCCTCCGGGAGCCAGTCTGTGGCAGGAGACTGGCGCCATGCTTGTTGCCCCAGTGTGTTCGGTATGGACCGGGATATCCCCCCCGGTCCGGGGGGGGGGCGAGGGTTGGATCGCTGCCGAGCCAAATGGGGGTTTTCAAGGCGAGGAGATCGGCCGCCTCTCCCCAGCCCTCTCCCAGTAGGCCGCAGCAGCGTGGCTCAGGTCTCCCAAGGGTTACAGGCTAGATTCAGGTATCTGTGCGTATCACACGAGCTCGGCTTCCCGGTAATGTCCCCCAGTGTCAGGGGACGTCCGATTAATCGGGGTTATCACCCCAAAGAGTGCTGAAAGCCAGGGAGCTCGAGCACCACACGTCTATCCTGCATGGATGCCAGGCTCCATTGATGTGTTTTATCTAAAAAAAACCTGTTACAATTCACTGTATTGCATCCACCAATCAAAAGACTTTCCTAGAATGCCTGTGAGATGCTTATGTTTATCCATAATTAGCAGAACTAACTGATACTAAATAAACTTGGCAATTAAATGTTAGAGAATGAAAAGCAAGACATCAGTAAATGTATAAAAATAAAGTTTATATTGGTGTTTTGGTTGTTGTTTTTTAAGGGTATTTTTTTTTTCTTTTTAAATAGAACATAGTTTCCATATTGCATATCAATTACAATAGACATTGGTATTTATACACAAAGAAAAGTTTTACAGAGTATTATGGCAGCTTTTAGATTATAATATAAATATAACGGATAAATGTGTTTCACTATATGATATTTTTTAAAACATTTGTTTGTACAGCAGCGCTCAGGACAGGAAAAACCCCCAGTGGTGGAAACCTGTGAGGCACCATGGCCGCTGTACTGCCCTCCCTCAAGGCATGCTATTAATTTAGGAGTAATTTAGTCTTTAAATTATTTAGTTTGGAAATTATTCTCATATCTTTCTTAAAAATGTATGTTCAAAAGGAACCTGAATGGGCTAATTTGAATTTGGGGAATACTGGGCGTGGTACATGTTTAATCTTACTATAGTTAAATGGGGAGCATACTGACAGGTTTAATTTTATTTTTATGCTTATTATGTGGTGACTGGTTAGGAAGTGCTGGCCTGCTGCCATATGAGGTAACTCTCACGTCGACAGGTTTTATTTGCCCACAGGCAATTAGTTCAGGCATTTAAAGGGTTAATCGAACCATCATGACTACTTCTGATTTTTGAAGTAATCATGTGGTAGGAGTCTGGATGCGCAATGTTTCAGCTTGAAACTCTGTACATCCAGAGTTATTTTTAGTTGTGTGGTCGGAGCTAGTTACACCGCTCAGCACACGTGACCTAGGGAGACCGGAATTCTTCTATGGGCTACCTAATGTCAATTCTGTGCTTTTTAAATCGTTATTATTTTTGATTGGACCTCCTCGTATCTCCCATGACTTTAGATGGGATTGTGCCGACTAGTTTGGGAGCTTTGCCCAGCACTACTGTGAACAATGTCTGGATATTGCAGTCCTATGCCCCATGTGGTACTGGATATCTGGATAGTTTTGCACCATTTAGCAAGGGACAATCAAACACAAATGGATAACCTCTTAAAATTCACCCAGTTGACAGGTGACTGTCATTGTTATGGCAATCACTTGTTACCTAGAGAGACATATTACCCTAAATATGAGGAAATATATTGCCCCCTCTTTCCTATGAGGGGTACTGTTTGTGTGTCATATGTTGTTATTAGGGAATAGGGCTTTCGTTAGAGCCCTATTCTCCTAAATAGTTAAAGTAGATTGAGTAAGTGATGGCTAATTGTATGGCTATCACTGACGTGTGAAATGGGTGTTAAATCCCACACTCGAAAGTGGAGTACCCCCTCTTTCAATAACGATTTTTAGCAGATTCCCAATTTTGCAGTGAACATCTGCAACTTAGGGGAACAAGTGACTCCTCATTCGAAAGGGCGGGATCTCTCCTTTCAAAGAAGGGTACACTAGTTCATTAGGTGCCATTGGGCACTTCCATACTGAGGGACATCAATACATGCTGTGTAGTAATGTCTTTAGTTAATATAATGGGGAGGGATTGCCTTATCTCTCCTCAATATATTTTAGAAAGGCAGGAATGTATAGTCCTGCATATTCCAAAGGCAGGGCAGGTGACGAGAGAGCGGTCACTTGCACTGAAGGGTTTAAAGGGACACTATAGTCACCTGAACCACTTTAGCTTAATGAGGTTGTTCAGGTGAGAACTACAGCCCACTACAGCCTTTCTCATGTAAACACTGTATTTTCTGTGAAAATACAGTGTTTACATTGGAAGCTAGGAACACCTCCAGTTGCAGTTACTCAGACTGCCACCAGAGGTACTTCCGAGTTCATGAATGCCTAATTTGCATATATCAAACGTGATGACAGGAGATAGTAGGCACTGTAAACGCGCCTCCTATGTCCTGTAGTAACCCCAGAGCCTGTCAGCAATCAGAGCCAACAGTGTGGGAGATCTCAGATAAGATCTCCTGCACACAGCGTCAGGCTCGAGATGACAGGCTGAAGACCTTAGACCGAGCAGGAGGATCGAAACCGTAAGTAAACCCATTTTGTGAGTGAGGGTGAGAGAGTGAGTGAGGGTAGATCGATAGATAGGAGATAGATCGATAGATAGAAATAGATATAGATAGATAGAAATAGGTAGATAGATATAAATATATATATAGAGATAGAGTATGTGTGTGTTTGTATGTTTAACAATATTTATTTAAAATGTGTGTGTTTGTAGGAGGGTTGGCGTAGACAGCGAGCTGAGCACACGTGCACACATGCACGGTAGAGCGCTCAGTTCTTTCATAGAGCGGCATTTAATGCCGCTCTATTAAGAACCTGATTGGCGCATGCCCACCTGAGAGCGATGATGCTTCTCAAAGAGAAGCGTCTGATTGGGCCCTGCTTTTTAATCATTTTGACTACAAAGTGGGCGTGGCCTGACGAGGAGCTCGGTGCTGGAACGGAGGTAAGTTTTAATGATAAAAAGGGCTCGAATTTTTGTAAAAATTTTTTTATTGTAAGTTCATATAAAAGCAAGAAAGAAGGCTAGGAGACCTGTCTCTTGCTTTTCTATGTTGACTATAGTGACCCTTTAATATTTAATTTAAAGGGATACTATAGTCACCAGAACAACTACAGCTTATTGTAGTTGTTCTGGTTATTATAGCTTGTCCCTGCCAGCTTTTTTCTCTAAACTCCACCTTTTCAGAGAAAAGGTAGTGTTTACATTACAGCCTGGGAACACTTCTAGTGGCCACTACTCAGATGGCCACCAAAGGTGCTTTCCCCACAGAGATGCATTAAATCAATCTATGAGGTGATGCTGATTGGTGCAGCACAGTGTTTTGCCACCAATGCACAATAGCCTCACAATGCTTTCCAGTGGGAAAGCATTGGTTATTCTAAAATCATCAAATCTGATGTCAGCCTAGGAGGCGGATCAGGGTTGGGCCAGACGTGAGGAGCCCCGCGTGGCACTGGATAAAGGTGAGTAAATCACCTTTATAACCCGAGGTAATGGCAGCTGACCGGCTAAACAATGGTTTTAGAACTATAGTGTCAGGAATACGTTTGTGTTCCTAACACTATAGTTCCCCTTTAAGTTTTTAGTAGAACCCAAATTAGATAGAAGAAGAGGAGCCTTACAATCTAGTCTGGGATTCTGGAGGAAACTGGGCACACGACGCTCAGTATTATGATGACATTACTGGAGGCATAGATGTTGAACTGGGTTGTTTTGCTTCATAACCAAGCCAGATGTATGAAAATCATGAGAGACAACTGCAGATGTTGGCAAAATAAGCAGATTTCAGAGACAGTTGGAGATGCTGATGGCTATACAGGTGCTGGATACATGTGCAGTTGTTGGTGATGAACAGAAATGTTGGAGAAACGTCCAGATGTTAAATAGTTTCCTCCTTGTTGTTCTTCAATTTCTGTAAACAGGATTATAGACATAAAAGGATGTATTATGAACAGTTTAAAGTAACACTATATTGTCAGAAATAAAAATGTGTATATTTGGCACTTTACTTGTAAAACCACAGTTTAGTTAGCCGGTCCCCCTCGCCCGCCTTTAAAAAGGTAATTTACTCACCTTTTTTTCTACATCGCACCGGTCTTGTTGCAGCTGGCGCCACCCCGCTCCGCCTCCTTTGCCAAGATCGTCAAATTTAACTATCTCAGCCAATCAAATGATTTCCCATTGGAAAACATTCAGAGGCTATTGCATAGAATCAATGCATCTCTATGGGTAGTGTTCAGCATCTCTGTGCGGAGACGCTGAGGTTTTCCTAGGTTTCCTGCAACTACTTTAAAGAATAACTATAGCTTAATGGCCCTGCAGGCTTTTTATACATTACTAAAACAATGGCAATATATTTTTCCATGTTGTAAAGCCCTTATGTTTGTATATTTTTATGTTTTGTTTGTTTTTTTATATTAGCTGCTCAAAACACCTATGAGTTATTCATTTAGCAGGTCAAAAGGTTAAAATCTATGAAGTATATGGTGGTGCGATTAGTAATGGAACATATTGCCTAAACATCCCTTCTAAATTTGTATTTAAAGTGTAAAGTGTATTTAAATAAATATTTACACAATTTTCAAAAGACGTTTTATGCAATATATTTTATTACTAAGCGCTCTACTATATACTTAACACAGTATTTACATTACTGTGTAGTAACACCTGTAGTGACAGTTACTCAGATGGCCACTAGAGGGGCTTCTATGGTAAGTGCTGCACACGTTTAGCGTCTCCACGCTCTGCATGGAGACTCTTAACACTCCTCATAGAGATGCATTGGTTCAATACTTTCCCATGGAAAAGTATTGCATTGGCTAAGATCATCATTTTCATCATCTCAGACATGTAGGCAGAGTGGGGCAGGGTCAGCTGCAAAAAGACCAGCAGAGCGCTGGAAAAAAGGTTAGTAAAATTACCTGTTAAAAGTAAGGGGGGGGGGGCTGCTGGTTCCTAAACAGTGCTTTTAAAACTATAGTGTCGGGAATATATGTTTGTATTCCTGGCACTTTAGTGTTCCTGTAGTTGTTCTGGAGACTCTAATATCATTTTAAAGGGATACTTTAGTGCCAGGAATACAAAGCTGCATTCCTGGCATTATCACTCTTACTGCCTCCCCTTTCCCTTATGCCCCACGTTGAATAAAGGGTTAAAAACCCTTTATTTACTTACCGGATCACAGCACCAATGTCCTTATCTATGGGGGAGCTATATTCCACTGTGTTAGAAGCATGCACTATACTTTCAGAGAGAAGAATAGCGCTCCAATCAATAAATGATAAACAAGGCTAGTGTCACTATTCAGCCAAATTAATGGATGATATCAGGACTGGAGCATCAGTCACAGGTTTCTCAGCAGTAATGATAATTTTATATTATATGTATGAACATGTGTAGGCTGGGGAGGAGAATAGCACATTGCGTACCGTTTGTATCACATAGATTCCTAGAATAATATATACTACTAATAATAGTAAACATACAGAGAAACAATAACTGGACTTTGAAGCAGTGAGGTTTCATTTATATCCAATAGAGGATTTTCATCCCGTATGACCAAACTAGTGACATGAAACATGTTAACATGAACCAAATATAATCCTTCATATTCCTATATAGCTTCTAGTTATATATAAATATATGTCTCTGTGTATATTTTTTATATATAGACAGATACTCAGGTACAAAATTCCTTAGTCAGTTAATAAAAAATACCAACATAAATTAGAACATTTAGGCCAATCTTGCTGTAATAGAAACATTGCCTACTTCTGCCTAGATTTGTCTCTCAGATGTCAATCACCGCTACTTACCATTTATTGAATAAACTCCAAAGTTTGCTGGAGTATTCTGCAACATAATGCTTTAGGCAGCAACCTGTAATATAATAGAATGTCAGTAACATTTCACTTCACAATGTATAAAAGGTAATATATATAGTACTTTCTGAACAGTTAGTACTTAGTGTAAGTGCAATCTCCACAATGTTTAGTATTTTACCTGTTTGTTTGATGACAATTTTAGCCACTTCCCACTGCGCAGGTTTGGTGACCCGAGAGTTGCTGGTGGTGTAGTTGGCATTTCTCTGACAGGGGCAGGATAACAGATGCCACGGTAATGGAACTCGGACAACAAACTCATTCAGCTTTCGCCGAAAATGTCGGATCGCCCCTCCATGATGGTTTATCCGAGTTCTTGTCCATGCCCAGTGGGAAGCATTTGCAGCCATGATCTAGGTGGAAAAAAGAACAGGAGCAAAAAAAATGACTAATGTTCAACTTAAATGTTAACTTTTAAAACAACAAAGAAATGAAATGCTGACAACAAATGTGCAATCCTTGGCTGACAGCTTTGCATAGTTATACTAATATTGGTTTTATTTTTATTTTAGAGAAATCTGCATAATTTGAAAGGATTAAAGTTGTATTACATTTTATAAATACATTTTAATTCCTGAACAGAAATTACAGTTATTCATAAATCAAAAAGCCTTCTGGATACTGTAAGTTACATTTCTATGTACTATTTTTACAATTAAAGTTGCACGTTAGGTTGTTTAGTTGGGTACCTTTCCCATTGTGTAAAACTTCAAAGTACAATTAGTGATGCCATCTGTGCATTTTTCATCCTAATGCATGATTTGGATGGCACTCACATAAAGTATGAGGACCCCATAACTTATGGTTGCCCTGAGGCAGACATATAATAGTCTTCTAAAATCCTTGCACCGGCCCTGCTCACAACATGTTCTCATCATTAAAGAGTATAGATTCAGTTGTGTGTGGGGAAAAAAAGCATTTTGATTTGAATAACTAGTAGAAAGGATCTAGATACCGTCTCTTAGAAATTGTTCATTAATGCCGAAGGAAGGATTTCTGAATGATAATCTTGGGTAAAATTTCCAGACACAATTTAAAAAAAAACCTGACTTCATCTGAAAACTAATTTTCAATTCAATTAAAATTTAAAGCATTTACTTAATCTAATGTCTTTTGTCTTTTTTTCAAATGGATTGCGATTACAAACCTGCTCACATGTCTCTCTGCTTACTAGGGCTTGGAATCCCATTCGCAACCATAATTGGTCGCGTGCCTTGCAGAAGTGGTGCAGATGAAGACGCCAGTTTCCTCCGAGAGCCCAGGGATATATCTGGTTATAAAATGGCTCCTCTTCTTCTATGCAATTTGCCAGATATCTTAAGATAGAAAAGAATTGCAAGTAAGTTACCAAAGTACATAAATGCAGCTCATGCAGTCTAGATATCACAAGTTGTAATGATTTTGCTACAAAAATTGCACATTTGACCCTTATTTTCTGTTTGTTATTTAAACGCTTAATAAAATACAGTGAGTATGACAAGAGAGGAGTTGTTAGCGTCTTACATTAAAACCCTTAGGGAAGGTTAAAAACACTTACAAAGCTGTAAAAAAGTTGTCCCTATTACATTCTTCTTTCTTCAGTCCTGCTCTCTGGAAGTATGTCATCACCATTGCCAGCAGGTACTGGGAGAATATCAGAATTAGAGTAAGGCTTGTAATAAAGATTAGGAGAGAGAAAATCCTACTAATACAGCACAGGAATTAACATACCTCCCAACTCCTGAATCTATTAAAGAAGGATACCGATGGGAGTGGATAAAGGGGGAGCACCCAGACAGAAATAACTGGCAGTTTCAACATGATGGAATGTAGTCTTTTTTCAATCTAGACAACTATGTAAAGTCAGTCTGGCATGAATGTATGCCTGCCAACCCTCTAAGGCCAGGTCACTGAGGGTAAGTCATACAAAAGCATTGTTTTAGTGCTCTCTGCAGGGTCCTAGTGATCTTAACATAGCACGAGCACATCTAATGATGTGTTTGTAATCTTGTTAGGGAAAGTTCCCTGATCAGCACACCCACACATTATATGTCTCATAAAAGCTATTCCTGGAGCTCTGGGGAGAGGAGAACCCTTCCCCTGGATTTTCACTTGGCTCTAAACTTCGCCAACATTGTCTCCAAATTGTGCTGTGATTGGTGGTCGGGGAATGTGACACATGTTGCACCCGGTGAATAGTTCCAGCGAATTATGGTAACTTCCGGTCAGGCGCGTGGTGTGCAGAATAGATCCAGCCGATCCACAGAGTCCCCCATATCCTCCTGAGGGATAGCATAAGCACCCAGGGCAACCATACCCATACAGTAACAATAGACTTTTTTTTTCATTATTTAGAGCCTTCTGGGCCTGGGTCTATATAGCTGGCCACCAAGTCCCTCAACAAGCCAGGGGATTCAATCACAAACCATAAAAAAAAAAAAATAATAGACATATAACAGTAGACGTGAGATTTAATTCACTAAACAGTGAATAAGGACTTTGAAACGATAGTCCAAGTTAGCAGCACTGGAAAAATTGACCAGGTCCGATATTTATCCTTCGTGGCAAATTTGGCCTCAAATCTGCAACAATTTATTGTTTAGTATATACATCTCTTGAAAGCTAATAGGCAGCAAATAATTACCATATCAATACACTGCATTGTATTGTAAAATTGCAATGAATTTATTTTAAATAATGTCATTTTATAAGTTATTGACTGTGGATCTAAATATCTTTGGCAGAAACGTCTTGTTAGAATTATTTAGTAGAGAAAACAATGTTTTCTGATAATATTGACATTTGGTAAAAATGAGACCATATGTTAACAATAATGAAAATAATATTATATCAGTAACAATACCTTGTCAGAAGACTTGAAATATTCATCAGTATATAAAAATGCTTGGACAATGGCATCATCTGTAATAAATAGGACAAGTAATAGCTATTATAAGACTAGAAATTTTTACTTTAAAATTAACTTTTCCTTACCCCCCTTCATGATGGCTGTGTGTCCCCCTGTGTGTCCTCATCACTTATGCAGTTAGGTTTA